GCAATGTCAAGCCGGCCATTCATGGCTGTTCAATAATTATAGAAACTTCGTCTGAAAATTATATAATAATTACTTACTAACTATAATTATTCTTTTCACGATAATTTGTAACACAATTTATATTTATATGTATAAATTGATGTCTTATGTTATGTTATTTATCATTAGTTTCGTAATGTAAGTATGTAGAAAGTAATGAATTAATGTTTTACAATCCATTGTCTTTTTAATTAAATGTGGTTCTCGAAGCCAATACCTACTAATTACATTTATCATAGTCATCATCTTATATTAGCAGCCAAGATGGCTTCAGCCTCTCAAAGGCTTCCCCCTATCTACTCTATATATCTGAATGATCTATTGAAAGCAACTGGGATCATGTAGTCTCCTTATTCCCTTACATTAAATTTCAGCACAAATTTTGGTTTTTATAGTATTGGGCGGTAAATAAAACTGCAAATCATCATCATCATCATCAGCCTGTACCTAAGTGCCTACTGCTGAGCAAAGGCCTCTTTTGGGCACGGAGAACTATTCGTGATTAGGGTTTTGGAGAGATTACTCGTATGTTTCCGATAACCTTTTGTACTCACACATACTCAAACAAAACGCTTGTTTAACACCAGTTTTCTGTCAGGCCGTGGTATCACTTTGGCCAAGCCGACCCATTTAAGCCAAAGCATTTTCTTCGACACTTAATAAAATAATAATAATTAAAAGTCTACTTTAGTTAGTATACAGCTTACATAACCAGTAGGGGATTACCGCATTACAAGTGCCTAGTGCATTCTTATAGATATGTTTTCAAGTTATTGTTCATAAAGTATATTATGTAGTAGTGTGTGTTAGTGTAAGTAGCGTGTTTAACAAAACAATGCACGAACAGTCACGGTGAAGTGATTACCTACAAAATTTCACACTCATTTCTCTTGAAGAGATTCTAGTGTAGCGCAAATCGTGCTAATATTATTTTTTTTTTCGTTCGTACGGCTGGAAGGATTGATGTTTGTAACTCTTCTACTTAAAAACTACTAAATCAATTTCGTTGAGAAATGGCATAGTGATAATATTGTAAATACCTTCTTAGTATTGAATACCTAGTACATAAAATTGTTTCAAAGGATGAAAACGCTGGCAGGTTATTTTAAATAATAATAAGGTAGTTAATAAAAAAAAATGCGGTCTCATAAATGGAGTGCCTGAACTTGAGAAAAAAAATCATTTGACCATAAAAGACTTTTATGGTGTGGGTCTTTTTTCCTGCCTTCCTTCGAGCTGGTTGAAAACCACCTCTTTCCTTCATTGTTCCAAGGCGACTCCGGCTGAACCTTAAAAGACTAGTCTCTTCTTTTTTTTCGTTTTCTTCGATGCATCCACACACAAAAACACACAACTTTCACATAGGTAGTTGCTTTTTAACTTGTTATATTTTTTATGTGATAGGTCGGCACTAGCAGACGGATTACCTGATGGTAAGCAATCAGCGCCGCCAATGGACACCCGCAACAACAGAGGAGTTACGAATGCATTGCCGACCTTTTGGGGATAAGGTATTTTGAGATTTAGGGATTGGGGAGGCATTGGGCCTCCGGTAACCTCACCCGCATGGCAAAACACAACACTGGTTCTTTCACTCCGGTTTTCTGTGAGGCCGTGGTATCACTCCAGTCAAGCCGACCCATTCGTGCCGAAGCATGGCTCTCCCACACTTAAATGCTGTTATCAAAAAAGGTCAATACCTACGACATTTATTCGTAAGAAATAATTATTCTCTAATTTTATTATTGTAGCATGAAGTATCTCGGTCGCTACGAGAAACACAATATTATGTAATCTATTTTTAAAATTAAAATAAACTTTTATTACAAAACCAAGCTGTTGTGACGTCACAAACAAAAAATATGAATTATTAAAAATACACCTGAAGAAATATTTTTTCGACCTTCTAAATTCAAATAAATACGCAACATAGAGGTTGCATAGGTACGGTGGCAGCGTGGCGATACGTCACGTACGGTACCACATATTGCAGTCAATCAGTCAATAATACTTAGTAACAATTAATTGAATAAAACTGTTATTATAATGTTTTTTTTATATAAGTACTCAAAAAAATTTAATAGCCTACCTAACTACATTATTATTTACTCGTAGATAACCACAGATAAAAATAATTCGAACACTGTCCTTTGTCAATGTTACCTTCAAGTCGTACAATTTTGAATATAGAATTAATTCAAAATTCGAAGCGTTGAACAAAATCAAACCAATCTAAGGATGTCCATTAGTTAGACCAAATATCGATAGCTATTAATAAATTATTTCACAGGGATTCAAATTTCAAATAGGTTGGGTGCTATATATTCCCGGGGTTATGGGTTAAACGCAATGAGTCACCGCGGCCTCGGCTCAGAGCAGAAGAAGGAACGGGGGGGGGGAAGGTTTAGTCAGTAAGAGTCTGACTCTCTCTCTCTCTCTCTCTCGCCTTACCCTGGGCAGGAGAAGTCATTTGATGATTTTCCAATGACAAAAAAAGGGTAGCTCCAATATATATGTATTTTTTATAAGTTTTGTAACGTCGGCATTCAGAATAGTAGAATAAAAGTATTACCTAATCGTAGAAACCACAAATATCATTTAATATTTCAAATGCATATACACACACATCGTAACACGATGTAATCACAAAAACTAAATATATATCTGTTTTATAAGATGTTATAAATCAAAAGAACAGTTACTTTCACTGACAAGTACATACTCGTTGCTCGGTGAGCAGTAGGTATCTACGCTCAACGAATCACGTACGCACTGCGCTCCCAAAATCCGTCGACTAGTGAACACGACCAGGCTCACATACACACCTCTTTCTTAGAAACTTTGTCTGGTCTGGTTGAGGTCACATTGTGCACATCGCATTTCAAATTTAGAACAAAATGAAATGGATTCCTTAAGAAGAAATGATAAAATTATAACATAATTTGTTATTTCCCTACAATGCTTTTCAAAAAGAGGTCGTATACCTAACCTACCTTCGCGCTTTTTATTCGCGGTTATTAGGTAATTTTCTATAATAGGTATATTCTGTTTACTTTTCTTTATATCGCTTCTGATATTTTTAATCAAAGTTTAAAAATACATACTTTGGTAAATGGTAGCTGCATACGCTGAATCCCACACTAAAATACATTTCTTGCGAAATTATTTTAGGAATCAATTTTATTCTCCTCTTATCTCTTCTGTATGATAGTCAAAATAATAAGTGACACAAATTCTCTTAATATATAATAATATTCAAGGCACGTTTCATTTCATTTTATAAGAAATACCTATTAATAATATTTGAGGCACTATTAATATTAATTTATAAGGTGATTGACTTTATTTGTACAATTGTGAAATTTACAATATTTAGCTAATTTGGTAGTTAATGTTGAGTATGTAATGTAACACAATGCTAGCTGCATGTTTGCTTGCATTTATTATAACAATTTGAAACAAAAATCTGATAAAAGCAAAGAGTATGTAACCACTACGTTTAGATAAAAGGTTAGGTAGACAAATGGACAAAATACCACAGATAATGCTAATAAAAAACATTAAATAAAATTACATAAAACCTTCTTGTTGTTTACAGATAAGAAATTTTCTTAAGGCTGCCTCAATACAGATGATACAGATTCTATACAATTTACAAATTGATGCTATCCTTGAATTCAATTGTTCAATCAGTGGCCGAGTTGAACGTAAACAAAGGCGGAGAGCAGAGTTCGAGTCGTAGTGATGTGCGCCCTTTTGTTGTGTTGTTTACATATCGATATTTTGCACAATAAGTTACGGTGAACTCGGAGGTAAGTCACATTTGTTACATGTCTAGCACTTTTATAAATGTAGGTAATTTATTGTTTACTTTCAGTAGTTATTTTTTTTATTAAAAAAAACACATTCTTTTTCCGGGAAGTAAAAATAAATTACTCGTACTTTTTTCATCCAGTCTATATTTATCGTCACAGTACCAATACAGCACACTACCGAAAAAAAGTCTATAAAAGGTATCAAAACTTTAAAATATATTTAAATTTAGCCGATCCCAAAATCTTGCTACGTAACGTGACTTTATAATTTGTCACGCTTTGTCTGTAGCAATGTGAACAAAATTCAAAAAGATCAAACATTAGCGATGAGTTTATTAACCTAGTTCCTTGAAATATCGATATCGGTAAAATGTCTATCCTTTATTTTAAAAGTTAATAGCATACTTGATAAAAGAAAATACTACGTATAAGTAGTTTTATCTTCGCACTCAAAAACAACGGATAAGTTTATCACCCGAATGTTGACACTAGACTACCCACACACTCAAAAAGTCTTACAATATACGTCATTACGTGCACATTGCTAAATTATATTCGTATGTATGTTTCGTACACAGTAGTCATATTGTGTGTATACAAAGTTGACCCACAGATTTCGTAGTGTAGTGTTGGGATCAGTAAATTGTTTATGTGCTATATTTACATAAGCTTTTCCTAGAAACTACTTAAGGAAATTATTCAAAATTAAAAACGACAAATCGTAATATCACTTTCGTTAATATATTGACAATACCTAAACATAAACAATGTATCAAATATTTCATAACAAGGGGGATTAGTTTCTCCAGTTAACAAGAAATTATTTTAACTTAGATAATCATAAAAATACTTACTATAACTAGGCAATTTTGCTTAAAAATATATAATGTCAACGTGCTACAATAAAATATCATACAAAGCTTTTAAATTTGACATGGTTTTTACATTTCTTTACTCACGTACATTTATTCAAACAAAAGGATCATCAAATTATAAAAACAAAAGGTTAATTAAGAACAATAACTAATTAACAATAAAAACCTTTGAAATTAATACTTTTAACATTCACAAAGTACGATGACTCCATAAAATAATAATTTTATCGACATTGCGATACATCACTACGTAAACCAGTATCGTATAGACGCCGGGTGTACGATCTCTGAATGCATTATCGACTAGCTCGGCCGTACGACAACACAGTCCGTAGTCAATAAAATTTAAAAAATTAATAAAACATATTTTATCTACGAAAACAAAATGGTTGTTAGCGTGTGAAGTGAAGTTTTTTGAACAATATTTTTTGTTATTATTTTTTTGTTTCTGTTTTGTTATTTATTAATAATAAGTGAAAGTGTTTTATTGGTTTTAAAATGGCTAAACCGACTATTCTGATTCGTCAATCGCTGTGAGTATTATTGTTTTAACCTGATTTATTTTTGTTGTCATTTTTACCGCCATTTTATTTTTGTTTCTTTTTACCGTAAAATGGCAGAGTTTATTTTGAAATCTTTTTATTTATTAAATAAACGGTTATTTTAAATGTCAGAGAGACTGAGATAATAAAATCATTGTAACGAACTCGATGCAATAAGAATGTAATATTCTTTCTCGCAATAATTATGCAGTTTTACATAAGAATGCAATATATTTTATGCAGATGTTTTATCCCAACAGTCGTAAATTATTGTTTGTTTTTAACTTACTATAATGGTACAACATTAAAAACTAATTACGATGTGGTACTTTAAAATACTAACTGGTTTTAAGTAGAATAAAACTGTAATTAGATAGGCATTAGACTGTTACTTAATTTTGTTGATATTAATGTATGTACATTTTATTTATAACCGTTCGATTAATCAATAATTATTGTGTTTTGTATTTATTTATTTATAGTTCCTATATAACGTTATTTATTTATTATTAAAATACCTACAGCTTTTATCAAGATAAAAAGATTTTTTCAATCTTTAGAGAAATAGGTCCAGACTGACATGGAAAGTAGTGGTGTTTTCTGTTAGATACTACCTACTGTAGGTGCCTACGTGTTCATCATCATCATCAGCCTATAAGTGCCCACTGCTGAGCAAAGGTTTGAGCATTAATCACCACGCTTGCTCAATGCGGGTTGGCGATTTCAAACTTATAATTAGAAATTATAAGTCCAGGTTTCCTCACGATGTTTACCTTCACCGTATGTCAGTGGTGTCTAAATAATCATAGAAAGTACATATAAATTGGAAAAAGTCATATTGGTACTTGCCAGGTTTCGAACCCCTACGTGTTGCATTACGCAAATGTGCAACGTACTTTTCCGAAAACTCATATATACTATTAGGTAATAGCAGCTAATAAAAAAGAAAAAGATTTTTATTCTTACTTTACGTGGGGGAAATCAATCAATGACTTCTTCTTCAGCCCTGTATATAGCGTAATGGTGTGTCAGTCTTACTGACTAAAAACCACGCCGCTAGTTCTAAAACTGATACGCCATAGTCAACGTAAACAAACAGGGCGACAAATTATATGTATAATATAGGTGGGCGGTTAATTGTGCCTGTCAGTGTATTTGCATCTGACTTATAACACATCCAGCCGATGAGATATGAACAGCAATATCATCAAAGAGTTTAGTATTCTGAGACCCCCAACCCCAAGTCGTAGGCCAAACTATAGGATGCCATTAATGATAGCGTATGAGACATTAAAAAAAAATAAAAAAAATTACTCAACAGCGAACTATTTTCAAAACATACCTACAACATAAATATCGCCAATGTTTATAACAACAGCGGATGGCGATTGAGTTTCACGTGTAATGAAAACAAGTCTTGACGATCGATGTTTTTTAATAGATCGCATCTTTTAATTAATAACAAAATGTTTGCTATCCGTTTGTGTAGGAAATTACCTATTAAATGAGGAAGTATTTTGTAACTGTACGCGCAAATATTCGTGGTAACTTAAATTATTAGGAATATGTATTTATATGTTTGAAAATACAAAGCTTCTGACTTATAAGAAGTACTTATTTGGGACTGAAACTGATAGACAGTATCGAGCTCTGCTGGTGAATAGATAATACTCAGAACAATAACACTTAAAACACAATAATTCTAGACAGTTCGGCCTATACTTAGATACCTAGACAGTTCGGCCTATACTTATTTACCTAGACACAATGATTCTAGACAGTTCGGCCTATACTTATTTACCTAAACACAATGATTCTAGACAGTTCGGCCTATACTTATTTACCTAAACACAATGATTCTAGACAGTTCGGCCTATACTTATTTACCTAAACACAATGATTCTAGACAGTTCGGCCTATACTTATTTACCTAAACACAATGATTCTAGACAGTTCGGCCTATACTTATTTACCTAAACACAATGATTCTAGACAGTTCGGCCTATACTTATTTACCTAAACACAATGATTCTAGACAGTTCGGCCTATACTTATTTACCTAAACACAATGATTCTAGACAGTTCGGCCTATACTTATTTACCTAAACACAATTATTCTAGACAGTTCGGTCTATACTTATTTACCTAAACACAATTATTCTGGACAGTATGGGCCATCTTGCAGTGCTACCATAGCCTCGCAGAACACAGGCGTGAAACAACGATTGCTCCATGTAAATGAGGTTACTGGAGTCTTATCAGCCCTCCCAAAAAGCTGACGCCACCGATAAACAATCACATCATCACAAGGGTGCAAATTGTCATTGATCATCTGTTTGATCCTTTGCCATATCCATATCCCAAAAAAAAATATTTTCTATTTATTCCTTACTAGCTACTAATACATTGCTTCACCCGCTGCTCGGTTCCTATTTGTTGTAGCTTAATGGTTAATAGCATTCCTCGATAAATGAACTAAGTATCCATCAAGAAATAATTATTGAAATCGAACCAGCGGTTCCGGAGATTAGCGCGTTACAACTAACGGACTCTTCAGCTTTATAATGATAAGAAGTATAGATTATTGTTCGTCCTAAACACGTTGTCTATACAAATATTATAAAGAGGAAAGGTTTGATTTTTTGTTTGTTTGTTTGTTTGTATGAATTGAATAGGCTCCGAAACTACTTGGCAGATTTGAAAAATTCTTTCACTGTTGGAAAGCTACATCATTCCTGAGTGATATAGGCTATATTTCATTTTCAAAAAAAATAGGCATCCTTACTAAAATTACGATAACGTAAGCCAATGTGTGAAAAAAATATCAAAAAACTACCTTACATCGCGTGCGCTGCGAAAACTATTGATGATAGAACAACATGATTTACTACATTTTTTTGGAACACACTATTATCTACAAAAAATCAGCAGCAGCATATCTCTAACTATTACAGTCATGTCACAATAAGCGTTTTTTATTGAAAAAAAGAAATTAAAATACGACCGCTACAAAAAGCTCTTTATTTGTACTTTGATATTAACCAATATCAAAATAAATGATGTATTATTTAAGACTGCTTCAATATCTTTATATAACTTTTTGAATTATTCGATTCTGACAATCCATTCAAAAGATATCACGAGTTAAAAAAAATAAACTGTATTCGGCTAGCTATGCGTTGTAGGCGTCACTCGGGCAGGGGTACGGGAGGGGGGTTAAGATCACGAAATAAACTTGCCGCGCGGCATCAAAATTTATGTGAAGATATTAGACACAGAATCAGACAGCAAAATCAAGGCATCACCTTACCATACAATAAGGACATTTATAACGAAGGTTTGATACAAATAGAAAATAAACTGTTGCAATTAAATGACAAAAGCCTAAGTGATTTCGGATTACCATCATCAGTTTGTACAGAAAGCAATGCAGCAGAGACTATGACTCATCGCTATGATACAAATAACTTGACCGCTTTTGTCAATGAAAACCTGCCAAAGTTAGTCCCAGATCAAAGACATGCTTTTGAAACTATAGTCGATAGCGTCATTCATGACAAAAGAAAAGTTTTCTTTTTGGATGCACCTGGTGGAACGGGAAAGACGTTTCTTGCAAATTTGATACTTGCTAAGATAAGACAATCAGGGAAGATAGCAATAGCAGTAGCTTCCTCAGGAATTGCTGCAACTCTCTTGAAGGATGGCAAAACTGCTCATTCTACTTTTATACTTCCACTATCCGTCAATCTTGAACAACAATCTACATGTTCCATCCGCAAAAATGGACCTATTGGTAAATTACTACAAGACGCCTCATTGATTATGTGGGACGAATGCACGATGAGCCATAGAGCACATATAGAGGCCGTGAACAGAACCTTACAGGATCTAAGGAACTCCTCTGCAGTCATGGGCGGGATTACTTTTGTATTTGCTGGAGATTTTCGACAGACTCTCCCCGTTATTAACAGAGGCACGCGAGCAGATATCATCAAGGCATGCTTGAAATCGTATCCCTTATGGACTACGATTGAAACATTAAAATTAAGGACAAATATGAGAGCTCATCTTCATGGAATCACTGATAGCGATTTCCCACAGCAACTGCTAAAACTTGGGTAAGGAATTTTTCCAACTCCAAATTTAAGCGGTCATTGTGACATTCTTCTGGATGAGTCTCTAGGCCAAATACTCCATAATTTGGAAAATTTAATAGATTCTGTATACCCTGCTATCGAGAATTTGCACGAAAGAGACTTCCATTGGCTGTGTGTTCTCGGGCTATAGTATCACCTAAGAATGATACTGTCAATGAAATAAACAATCTGATTGTTCAAAAAGTCCCTGGCCAAACAAAAACATACAAATCGATCGACACTGTAACGAATATTGAAGATGCAGTCCATTATCCATAGGAATTTTTAAATTCGTTGAACCCTTCTGGACTGCCACCCCATGAATTGACGTTAAAAATCGGAATCCCAATCATGCTTTTAAGAAATTTAAACCCTCCGAGCATGTGTAATGGGACGAGGCTGCTTATTAAGGAGTTAAAGGACAATTTAATAGTAGCAACTATTATCACTGGCCCAGCAGGTGGTCAACTAGCTCATATACCGAGGATACCGATGATACCAACTGATCTGCCAATCCCATTTAAACGGCTTCAATTTTCGGTAAAAACATCTTTCGCATTAACAATTAACAAGTCCCAAGGCCAAACCTTCGAATTAGTAGGGATCGATCTGCGAAAGAAATGTTTTACTCATGGTCAACTGTATGTTTGTCTATCGCGAGTCGGAGCCCCTGAAAATCAATTTATTTTGCTGCCACAAAATAAAACAACATCAAATATTGTTTACAGAGAAGCTCTAACAAAATAAATGTATTTTCTTTTAGGGCTATGACCTCAATAATTGAAAAAAAAAACAAAATATTAAAAAAATATATCAAAAAAGAAAAAACACTAAAAATATACAAAAAAAACATAA